TGCAAGAGAACAAACCCCGGCAAGGGAGGGGAATGCATTACAGAGGGTGGAAGGATTTTGCGAGCAACTAAATAGTGAAAAGGCAAGTGCGAGTGCTAGGGGGGGAGGTGACGGGGAGGGATACGGGGTCGTAGAATAGCACAGAAACGACGCACGATGACTGAAAATGAAGTGCAGTGAGGCAGCGGTCGCACATAATGAAAATGCGTAGGTTTAGGATGTAGCGCGCTGAAGAATCTGGAAGACAGAATCCGAGCTGAGAGGTACACAAACGGCAATGTCAATAATGAGGGTGAAGGTGCCGCGCTATAAGATGAAGTGCTTGTACGCACCGATGAGGCTTGACAGGAGATTGATGATCCTGTCGCGATGGGTTACGATGACCATCTCCTTCTCCATGGCCAACACCTCGTTGCGCGAAATCGGTTGCTGCAGGAGAAAAAAGGAACCCAGAAAGAGAATGGAAACTGCCTCAACAAATCACACCGTTGCCATTCCGCGTAGGAGATATTATTGCAGATTCCAATGTCGAAACTGTGGGCACTAACTACCATCATTGACTGCGTTGACATTTCTCCGTTGCAATGTCGCGCATATCAACTAGGGCTTCATGGCGATAATCCGGACGACGTTCCGCTTGAACCACACTGCCTTAGATTGAGCTGGGATGACTGAACGAGATCCGCGACAAGATGCTTGAAACTTATCGCGAACACATCTAGAAACAAAATGCATGCAATTATGTACACATACAAATAGCTGTAATAACATAATGACAATAGCTTGATATGATTAAAATACTGACCATGTCGTCTAAGTTTGTGCGTGCGACGATGTCAGTGAAATCCTTGAAAGTGTCTGTCGCTAGGGCCTTGGCGTCGTTAAACTTGTCCTCTGCAAGCTCCCGCAGATTATTCTCCTGCTGATCGGTCTTAACAGCTCGAACTGGAGGTCCTGCTTTACGGCGAGCGACGCGCGAAGAACGGGCAGTTGAACGAACAGGAGCGGCGAGCCGAAGATCTGTCCTGAAAAAAACGGCGGAAGAAACGCGGCACGGCTGAGTACCCTTAGAAAAACGTGCTGTCGTTAGCGACGGCACACGCGAAGCCAGACCGAGAGCTGCGGCTGACATGATGCAACCAAGAGTAAAAATCTGGAGATGCTCTGACTCTTACAAACAGCAGCTGTTGCTCTGCTGGTGGGTCGGGTTGGTTTCCTTGGGATTGCTTTCTTGGGATTTGTTTTCCTGGACTGAACTGGAGCAAACAAAAAGCAACCCAGGAATGAGCAGAGGCAGAATGAAACCCACCAAAGGACAATCTCAAGATGACTGACACTGCTATCACAACGGATGAGCTGGATTGGGTGTTGGGATCATGTGCCAAGCCATGAGACAGGTCTGACACCACAGAGCGACCGGAAAAATAGGAGATTTGAAGGCTTCTTGACTGGCTGTGCCGTACCAAACCCAAATCAATCACATCGAACCCAAGTAACCAGATTCTTGGGCGCGCGGGGGTGTGCGTGAGGTGATCCGCCCGCCACACCTCCAACAGTTCCGCCCGCCGTTTCCCAGCTCAGTGTGCGGAACATTTGAGGGGTGGGGAGGGGAGGGAGAGGAGGAGGAGAGAGGGAGAGGACGGGGGGGAAGAGGAAACGGGAGTTGAAATTTGAGCATTTGCGGAAAATGATCGTAGAAAGCGCGGATGCGTGGGCCTCCGCCACTGTGGCCTTGCCCTGCTGGATCTGTCGCTTGCGTTGTTTCTTGACTGATAAAGTCCTAACATGGCCTTATAGGTGATTGGTGCACTTATGGGTTTCTTCACGTGTTAAGATCGGTTTGGCTCACAGCCAATCATGATTTGCCACGATATTGCGAGCGACAAGCGTGATTGGGCAATGTACCTTGACGAAACAGACATTCTAGGACGATTTTCCTCGGTGGTCAGTTCGCTTCGATAACTGTAAATAGCACACTCCCAGCCATGCTCACGATTGTAAATAATATATTTGTTATGAGAACATTTTGTGTTTCAATTCGATAATTTCATGAATGAGTTTTCTTTATTCTGGATTTGAGTATGGGTATGAAACCATGTCTGTGATAATAAATCTGTATGTCATTGAAAAAATAAGCTGAAATACCTATGGGGTCTTGGATGGAATTACAATACCTGTGTCAAAATGTGTCGTGCTTGTTTCTAGCCCCGGTAAATTCTTTCTCTCTGTAAGTGTACCATCAGCCCTGCTTCAACATTAATGTAGTGTGCAGAGTGGCCATATTCCACGTCATGCGCAAAAAGAGGAACAGCAGGACCTTTCAGGGGAATTGATCAGACTGGGGCCCCGGGTTAGCAGAAACAGTGCCAACTTGGGGCCTCGTGAGTCGCGACCCTACGAAATAGGCCCGAAGCAAATCACAAGACTGGGCAGCAGGTCCGAACCTGGCAAACTCGCCAGGTCACCACCTACTGCCTTGGGTTTGACGGAAATCGCTAGCACCCCACACCGCTGGAAGCACAACAATCCGTCAAACCAACACGAAGTGTTTCTGCTTTCTAAAGTTCGCCAAACCCTGGTGTTTTCGCTAAGAGCAATTCGCACATCGAGAGTTTGACTTATGGGACCTCCCTCACAACCCCTAGACCGTCACGCTTTAGTGTCTGCATCTTGCTGGAGAGAGAGAGGCGTCACATTCTAGTCTAAGGTGAGCTCAGATTCCTATGCATCGATGTATTCGCGACGATTTCCTCCTTTTTTAGATTATTTAGTTAGTATTTGTCATACCGCCTCAATGCTCTTGCGAAATCGATCATTCTTCCGCCCATGATTAGTTCTTTTTGTGTCACGTGGCATTGATAGTACTGTAACTCCTTATCAGCTGTTTCTAGACCATTCTACAAACGACAACACAGTCCGAAGTTCCCCAACTCCTCGTTCTTTCCATTTTTTTGTTTGGTTGATTGTTCAATCCTCTTATTTTCTCTTCTTCATGAATCATGTCAAGATGAACAACTCCTCGGTTGCTTTGGACTTCCCTGTGGGGAAGCGGTATGCTTCATCGGAAGATGCGAAACATGACATAAGGTCGCAATGCGGGGCGACAAGGTGCGCTTTCAAGTTCGTTGCAAACAAACCTCATAGGGTGGAGGCACGGTGTCCATCTTTTGCGTATAGGAAGAAAGGAAGGGCTGCTGTCAGTAATGAACCAGAAACGGAAGAGCCTTGCCCTTTCATGATCAGTGCTAGGTTGTGTATAGATGGCTCGCTTCGAGTTGTCACGGCAAACCTGCAACATGGTGCGTACTGCACGGTACATCCCAAAGGAGCTACACGAGCAGATCTAATTGGTTTCGCAAATACTATTCCCAATGTGGCCTTAGATCCTAAAACGTTGGTCAAGGAAGTCCAGCAACGTACGGGTCAGAGGTCGTCCTACACGACTTCACGAAGAGCAATACACGACATCAAAATCGCGGACCCTCAGCAGAATGATACTTCATTTCAGTATGTGAGGAGTATTCTTGAGGTTTTTGTGCGAGACAATCCTGGAAGTATTGTGTCGCTATCCAAGCGCGATAGTCGTTTCTACAGTGCATGCGCTATCCCGAGTGTAGCCCGTTCAACAATGTTGAGCGCCATGCCGATACTAATCATCGACGGGTGCCACAACAAAACGGTGTGGGGGGGTCAGACGATCAACCTTGTTGTTTTGGATGGTGACGGTCACTATGTTTCAGTTGGAATTGCGTTCGTCGAGTCCGAGAGCAATGAAAGTTGCGCCCTTCCAATTCGGCAGCTTTTGAAGGTGTTTCCCGAGCTCAATTCCCCGGAGTGGGTCATAAAGCATGACCGTGGTTCTGGATGGAGTTCGTGTGCAGAGTTGCTTCAGCATGCACACGAGTCTTACTGCATTACCCACATTGGGCGAAACTTCACCAAGAAATTTGGGAAGGACCTGAGTTCGTCCATTAAGGAGGCCGCTGAAACACTGAACATCGAGCTGTTTGAGTTTCGAATGGATAAAATAGAGAATGCGTGTCCCGGTGGTAGGGCTTATCTTGCGGGGGAAAGAGGTGAGTTGCTCTCAAAGTGGGCAACCGTCCATTTCCCTAGGTCTAGGTTCGGGGTCCTCACATCAAACCCCGTGGAGTCACAACATGCATCTATGCATCATTTGCGCGATAGAACCATTGCACAAGTGCTTCTTGGATGGATCGAGACTCTACCAAAGATTAGGCGTCGTCGGTTCCTAGAATACTCTCAAATGCCTGGCACGTGGACCAAGAATGCAACGGTGGTAATCTCAGCCAACAAGGATGACGCGTTAAGCTACGATGTGGAAAGCACCGGGACAACGACCTTTGCGGTTACCCACACCGGACGTCGGGAATCCCGTGTGGTGGATCTCGGGGAGCGAGAATGCAGCTGCAACTACACGAAGTACGTACATGTGTTATCATGTGTATATGGTCGAGATCTTGCCAACCTCCATTATTGTATTACGTGCATGCACCAAATTTGAAAGCTTGGGAATGTTTGTGCAAACTGGCAGAAATCTGAACATGTTTGAAGTATCCTTCCTTGTCCCTCAGCCCCCATCAAGCTCAACTTCCCCCTCCTCCTTCCCCCTCCTCCTTCCCCCTTCCACCTTCGCCTTTGTCCTAACCCTTCCTTCTCCCCCTTCGGCCTTCCCCGTCACCCCTCTACCATCTCCTTGCTACTGCAGGGAGTACGGGCTGCCATGTGTTCACATTTTTGCCGCAGCAGGGGAGAACAACCGCTTGCCTTTTGACATGGTTCATCGCGTGTTTCATCTCGATACCATGAAGGCCATGTATGGCGAGGACATGAAGCACATTGACCCAACATCCATCGTGCGAGATGGGGTTACTCTTCCACCTAAGTACAAGCGACGACCTGGAAGAAGAAAGAACAAACGGATGCGATCGGGTGGTGAAACCGATCCACAACGGATGCGGAGGTGCAGCAGGTGTAGGTTAAAGGGCCACAACATTAGCACGTGCGAGGATAGAGAGGAAGAGCGACTCGAGCAAGGGTTTCAAAGAACACCCCAGGAGCATCTTAGTTTCCAAACCACAACACTTTCTCGGATCTCCATCAACTATGTTCACTGTGAGGGATGTCAAACTCGACATAGGCTGGGGGGAGCTTGCCGTGGGGAGCATGGGCATGTACAGCACCAAGGACGGCCGCAACAGCGAGAGGATGGGCACTGGCAGGGACAAGGGCAGCAACAAGGGGAAGGGGAGCAGCAAGGACAGAGACAGCAACAAGGGGAAGGGGAGCAGCAAGGACATTGGCAGCAGCAAGAGCAGTGGCAGCAGCAAGGACAACTACAACAGCAGCAAGGGATTGGGCAGCAGCAAGGGACTGGGCAGCAGGGAGGGAATAGGCAGCAAGGGACTGGGCAGCAGCAAGGGACTGGGCAGCAGCAAGGGACTGGGCAGCAGCAAGGGACTGGGCAGCAGCAAGGGACTGAGCAGCATCAAGGGACTGGGCAGCATCAAGGGACAGGGTGGCATGAAGGGAGTGAGCAGCAGCAAGGGGCTGGGCAGGAGCAACGGATTGGGCAGCAGCAACGGATTGGGCAGCAGCTAGATATTGGGCAGCAGCAACGGATTGGGCAGCAGAGAGGGAGGAGGCAGCAAGGGGCTTGGCAGATGCAAGATTTTCGGCAGCAGCAAGGGACTGGGCCGCAGCAAGGGATTGGGCAGCAGCTAGGGACTGGGCGACACCAAAACCGAGGTCAGCAGGATGGGATTGGGCGACAGGAAAGGACTGGGCAGCAGCTAGGGAGTGGGCAGCAGCAAGGGACTGGGCAGCAGCTAGGGACTGGGCGACAACAAAACCAAGGTCAGCAGGATGGGATTGGGCGACAGGAAAGGACTGGGCAGCAGCTAGGGACTGGGCAGCAGCTAGGGACTGAGGAACAGCTAGGGACTGGGCAGCAGCAATGGATTGGGCGGCAGGGAGGGAATAGGCACCAAGGGACTCAGCAGCTGCAAGATTCTTGGCAGCAGGAAGGGACTGGGCAGCAAGAAGGGCAGAGGCAGCATCGAGGAGATGGGCACCACCAGGGGCAAGGGGAGCGGCAGTTGGACGGGGGGGAGGAAGAGGATAGGGCCCATGAAGGGGATGAGCGGCAGCAAATGCAACCGGATGGACTGAGGCATCAACAATCTCAACGGAGTGGGCGGCAGGCATCTGGGCGACGTACCAGGGTTCAGTTGCAGGAGCAACGCTTAAACATTGAGCACGTTTGGGAGCATTGGGAAGGGGGCCCGCGCATGCAACAGGACGAGATGCAAGGTTGGAACAGGCAGTTGAGACACGGGCATCTTGTGGAACTGCAGACGCAAGTTCATCATCATGAACAGCAACTGCATGTAGAAGTGCAGGGGCAACAGAGGCAGATACAAGTTCATGAGCCTCATAGGGAAGGGCAGTTTCAAGAGCCTCAGCGGCATGGGCATGTTGAGCAGCCTCAAAGAGAAAGCCATGTACGGCAGCAGGGTCAGCATGCATCACAACGTGGAAATACACCGCCACATGAGTGGATTGTACACATTAGAGATCTTCCAGAGGGCGCGGATGTGGACAGTGATTCATCATGCTCAGAGGAACCTGAGGCTGAAGATGAGATTACGGCTGATGACACTTCCGATAGCGGGAATTCTGATGACGGGGGGGATAGCAGTTCAAGCGGGTCGGAGAGAGGAACTGAAGACCAGCTTAGGACTGAAGAGCAGACCATTGGTGATGGGGATTGGGAAGTTATGACTTTGGGTGAGCCGGCCATACAGCTTGAAAGATGGCAGCAGAGTGTGAATCCAGAACAGAATGGCGGTGGAGAGGCTACTGTGGATGGAGAAGAAGGGATGAGCATGTTAGGTGAAGCCATGGTGGGAATCGAGAGGTCGGGTGGTATCATGTCGGCAAGGGCAGATGTAGGCTTAGGGGTTACTGGCTTGAACACCGCCGCAATGCAGCAGGGAATAGATGTTCCATCTCCCTTAGAGGGAGATGTGGTGGCACAAAACTGGGGTCATTTAAGGGTTAGAGGCCAAGACCTGTCACAAGAGGATGCGGTGGCGGCACGTCGTGTAAGAAGACGCCAACGACTACGATTGCAAACGGAAGTGGTACCCGAGGACGGTGAGGAGCCGGAGGATGATGAACTTAATGGAGCTGAACAGTTGACACGTTCACGAATGGCTCGTCGTGGTAGGGGTCGGGGAGGCACCGAAATCAGAGCACAACGAACAGCACTTCAAGGGTCTAGGGTTCGCGGTACTGGACGAGGGCGCATGCAACAAAGGGTGCAGAATAGGCAGGGGGAATCGACGATTCACCACGAGAACCCAACAGACACCTCTGATTTGCAGCAGCAGATACACGTTCTACAAGTGCAATTACTCCAGCAACAACAGGTTCATAGCGTCTGGTGTCAGCAAATACAACAACAGCAACGCACAGCTACTTCGGGTGTAGCGGCAACACATGTGCATCAAGCATATGAACTCCCGTTTCCTAATTTATTTCAGGGTCAACATCTGAGGACAGACCAAAGTCATCCCCTAATGCATCCAATGCAACACCACGGCATGGCTACCGGGGCTAACCAAGCCCCATTCCAGTTTTTGTCCGTCCCTGATAACGAACGAGCCAATGTTTTAATGGGACAGCGTTTGCGACGCCAAGAAAGACGGCGTCTCCTGCAACTCAGCCGTGCAAGAAGACGGCATGATGTAGATCCGGTCTGAGTGAGGAAGAGATGGACATTCTACCCCGGCATAAGCACTGCTATAGGTGAGAGTGTGCGCGATTATGCTGGAAGCGTCTGAATGGAGTTGGATGGTGTGTTTCAAGTGGAGGGAAGGGAAGGAGATTGTTTGTCGTGTACTGGGAACTTGAAGTCCATCCCTAGCAGCACCCAAGAAGGAGCAGGTGGGGGTGAGACAATGTGAAGCAATAAGAGGGGAGGGCAGAAGACAATGTGCCGTCTCGCCCCCTCCTCACCCCTCCCGTCCCGCTTTTTCCTTTTCGCAGACAGTTGACTCGGAGCTCCAAACTCTAGAGAGCATGGCGGCCTCTGTGGCGGCTGTGTCTGGAGTAGACTTCAATTATCCCCCTTCCACCCCCACCCCTTCTCTTCTGTTCTCTTTGCTCGCAGTCATTTGACTCGGAGCTCCAAACTTTAGAGACCATGGCTGCCTCTGTGGCGGATAAGCTAGAATTCTTCCACGAGTGGTGAGTGGCAACAACACTAAACCCTAAAACCCCTCATGATTATCTTTGCGCTGCGGCGCTGCCTCATACCCCGCCGAGAGGTGAGAGGCAACCCTCGCTTTACCATGCTGGTGATATATAACTTGCGTGTCATGCGTCGATGTTCTTGTCAACTCACAAATTGTCGTACAGGCCGATTGTCTTACGGTATCACCATCTTGGTGATATGTTACTGCCATCTTGCTGTAGCCAATGGTCAACGCGTCAGCTTTGCTTTGCCCTGCTCCTCCTCTTTACTTCACTTGACCTGCTTCCGTTGCTGTACTTTGAATTGCAGGGAAACAAAGCTGCGGCAAATGGTCAGTGCGACGCACTTGAGAGTGGCGTGCACGAGTCTCACTCCTCTCCTCGCCTGCATTTCCCTGACAGCCAAGCCATGCCAACACTGTCATTGACACCCCATATTCACATCAGACCCACTTGCCCTTTCTTGTCATTCAAATCGCAGGGAACTGGAGTTGCAGCGAGTGGTCAATGCAACACACTTGAGAGTGACGGGCACGAGTCTCGCTTCTTTCCTCTACTGCATCTGCACTAATTGTGCCAGAACCTGTCTTTCCTTCCTCCCTTACTGTCGTGTGAATCGCAGGGAGTTGGAGTTGCAGCGAGTGGTCAACGCAACACACTTTAGAATAACGTGCATGAGTCTCGCTTGTCTCCTTGTCTGCATCTCCTTGACAGCCCTTCAGTTCTGGCACCTCAAATCCTTCTTTCACCCCAAAAAAACTCTTGTAACCCGCACCTGCTATCAGCGATACAATAACGAAATGCGTGGTGTTTTTTTCATGTGCCTACCGTCATCGCCCGGATATAAGACAGTGTTGAATAGTAGACAGGGGTTGTCTATTATACGGGTGTCTCTTATAAACAGGCTAGCCTCATTATAAGACACCTATTTGTGTGTACGAGTTAAGAAAGTGTAGGAGTTAGGGGCAAATGTATAGCGAGGGGGTATCTTCTAAAAATACAGATGTACATTTAGTACTAATCGTTTTACGCTATAAAAAAAATACACATTATGTAAAGACCCGGGTGCAATGAAGCTTTTTCCGATGACAAGACCCCCCCCTTTTTTTGTGTAGTTATCATAGCACCCTAGGGTGGTATATCCGGGGGAATACGGTAGAAGATTTTTCATCGAAGATTTTACAAGGGAAGCACTTGCATGTAAATCATATATGTATGTATACATATTCTGAAAGAATGTGGGTAGGTTGGTTGAAATTTCTCTAACAGAAAAAGGTCATGAACCTCCCCATTTTGTGCCCACTCATTTTATTAATTTTCATGTTTCAGCTCTTTGTGTTCTGGCAGTCTTATGTTTCCGTAATAATTCCGAGTTGTTTGTTACATGCTGCTTGTGCTGTATCTCGATCAGACTGTGTTGGTTTGACGGATTGTTGTGCTTCCAGCGGTGTGGGGTGCTAGCGATTTCCGTCAAACCCAAGGCAGTAGGTGGTGACCTGGCGAGTTTGCCAGGTTCGGACCTGCTGCCCAGTCTTGTGATTTGCTTCGGGCCTATTTCGTAGGGTCGCGACTCACGAGGCCCCAAGTTGGCACTGTTTCTGCTAACCCGGGGCCCCAGTCTGATCAATTCCCCTCCAACTTCGCGAAATCATTATGCGAGGACAAGTTACTTCACTCTTATTGGTCTTTCCTGTCTTAGTCATCCCTTCCTTTCGCATTCCCTAGATTCTTTCACAACAGGGGACATCCCCGAGCGACCTCACCTTGCCCTACAAGATTTTACTTTCACAGGGATTTCAGTTCATAGCAAAAGCTTGCTGCTTTAGCGCCTCAACCTCATTTTGCAGGTCTCTTGTAGCTTTCTTCCATCTCAGATCTTGCGGTCGTTGTGACGTAGACAGGCACGCTCCTCACGCGCTGTCTGCCTGCTCTTTCCTTTTGCTCCCGTCTCTCTGATACTGTTACGTAGAGACAGAGACAGATGGCGACCGCGGCCTTGGCAGCGCAAACATCACAGGCTGGTTTTCGATTGTCCTCGAATGCCAGGTCGCAAGCACTCTCCGCCAGTAACGGAAAGCCTGCCGGCGTGGCAGGATGGTCTAAAAGCTGCGATCTCGCCGGATCACGGCTGGAAATGACAACGCAAAACGCGACGACGCTTCGCACACCGCAGGTTCAGCGGCGCTCGATAGTGTCACAGGCGGCTTCTGACGCAACCACGGCAACGCCAGACAAAGCTATCGCTAGGGCTCCTCCCGGGTGCGGTCTTGCCTCCTCTAGTTCCTGTGGTTGCTGCTTTCTTGCGCGCGAATCCTGTGCTTTGATCCGTTTTGGTGGACTTTGCAGGCGTTCTTCTGAGGCGAATCAAAAGCAGACTTGACCTGCAACATTTTCCACTTCCCCCCTATCCTTAGCTCTTCGTTTCTCCCTCTCTTGCCCTCTATCCATGCGCAATCGTCCCTCAATGCGTGGGTTCTCTGATCTCCGCATATTTCCCCACTCCTCACCTTCTCCCTATCTTCCAATGTCCTCCGACACACAGTCTCCGTGTTTGTCAGCATTGCGCAAACGTCCCTCAATGTGTGGATTATCTGATCCCCTTCCTCTCCTTCACCTCCCTATCCTTCAGTGTCCTCCGTCACACCGTCTCCGTGTTTGTCGGCGACGAGAGCGGCATGATCAACCGCATCGCGGGCGTGTTCGCGCGGCGCGGCTTCAACATCGAATCGCTCGCCGTCGGGCTGAACAAGAACAAGGCACTGTTCACCATTGTCGTTTCCGGTTCGGAGCGCGTGCTGCAGCAGGTGATGACTTAGGCGCATTCAAAAAAGGCATAGTTGCTTCCGAATCGGAGCGCGTGCAGCGACAGCTGATGCGATAGAGCAGCAGCAGCAGCTCGATCATAAGTACATTTGAGACGGGTCGAAGCGAATCAACGTGCACCAGATGGAAAATAAGCTTTTTGAGACGTCTCAAAAGCCGCCTTCCGCCAGACTGTGCATCTTCCCCTAAGGTGGTGAAGCATCTGTACAAGCCAATCAAAGTGCGGCACGTGGACTACCTGACTTTCTAGACGTCTCACACGCCGCCCTCCGCCCGACTTTCATCTGCCCCAACACGCGACGAAGCAGCTTTACAAGCTGATCAACGTGCGCCGGGTGGACGATCTGACGTCTGAGACGTTTCAAAACGCCCGCCTTTGCCCGACTGTGCATCTCATCCATCTAACAGGTGATGAAGCAGCTGTACAAGCTAATCAACGTGCGCCAGGTGGACGATCTGACGCACGAGAGCCGCGTGGATCGCGAGCTGATGCTCATCAAGCTCGCCGTCACGCCGCAGCAGCGCTCCGAGGTGCTGGAGCTCGTGCAGATCTTCCGCGCGCGCGTCGTCGACGTCGCCCCCAGCTCCATTACCGTTGAGGTGGGTGGGTGAGAGTTCGGAGGGAGTAAGAGGTGCTGGAGCTGATGCAGGTCGTTCGCGCGCGCGTCGTGGATGTTGCTCCCAGCTGCACCACTGTCGAGGTGGGTGAGAGGTGGGAGTGAGTGAGTGAGAGAGTGAGTGGGTGAGAGGTGGGAGTGAGTGAGAGAGTGAGTGGGTGAGAGGTGGGAGTGAGTGAGTGAGTGAGAAAGAGACTGACATGGTGACTGGGTGGGTGTCAGGGGGTCGTGGAGTCTTCGAGTCGCAGTGATGCCAGGGGCTTTTACAGTGAATGAGTTGCATATGAGAGCCCGGCAGCTCATTCCTCAACTACCCATTTTAACCTCGCCCCATTCCCTCATTCTCCTCCCAGGTGACGGGAGACCCCGGCAAGATAGCAGCTTTCCAGCGCGCCACCAGCAAGTTCCCTCTCAAGCAGTTGGCGCGCACAGGCAAGGTGAGGCATTATTAAACTTGTATGTTTGAGAGGCGAGGTGTACAGGCAGGGTGGGCGGCGCACAGGCAAAGAGCAGATTCAAAGAGTCAGTTTTTTATGGTTTGAGCCTTACTAGAGCAAAGTGTTTCATTGCAAAAGGCAAGCCAAGGTGAGCTGCGCACAGGCAAAGATCATATTCGGAAATTCAGTTTTTTTTTTTTTTTTTTTGGTTATTGTTACGGATTGAGTCTTTTACTAGGCCATGGATTTCACTCCAAATAGGAAAAGAAGCTGGAACCCCGCACTTCAAGCTTGAAGATTGAAACCCTGTGGACACCCTGGCAGCCTCGAACACCCCATGCACTGGCCCTTAGCACTTTCTTGCTGTTCTTTGGAACTCTTAGCCCTGGTCTCACAAATCCTGGTCAACAAATCCTGGTCTCTCAACGGTCAACCCAACTTCCTGCCTGCATAAATTGCGCTGCGGAGGGAGAAGGTCGAGCGAGTGTACCTGACGCCTCTGGGCGGCGAAGTTGACTTTTGAGTTGACTCGAACGTCCTCCCCCCCCCCCCCCGGCTCCCCACACGCCCCCCTCCTCTCGCCCCCCCTCCCCCTTACCTTTCCTCTTTTGTGCGTGCAGATTGCGCTTCGGAGGGAGAAGGACGAGCGGGTGTACCTGACGCCTCTGGGCGGCGAAGTGACGACGGACGTGGAGGACGACATCGAGGCCGCCCGGCAGGCCGCTGCTCTGTCGCTGGCTGGGCGGCGAACTGTGGCGAAGCGGGGGAGCGCTGCTGCTGCCAATGCCGACTCCGATGTGAGTTGGGGAATGTGGTATTAGGGTTAGGGGTTAAGGGATACACAAGGGATACACACAGATACACAAGGGATACACACAGATACACACAAGGAAGTTCAGGAGCTACCTGGCGCTGGCTGGGCGGCGAACTGTGGCGAAGCGGGGGCGCGCTGCTGCTGCCAATGCCGACTCCGATGTGAGTTGGGGGACGGGAGGTGCAGGATGTGAGTTGAGGGATAAGCGTTGGGGGGTGGGCGTTGGGGGATGGGCGTTGGGGGATGGGCGTTGGGGGATGGGCGTTGGGGGATGGGAGTGGAGGGATGTGAGTTGGGATATGCTCTTCTGCCCTAAGCCCCAAACCCTAGACCCGAACCTTGTTGTCCCTACATGCTTGCCAGCCAATGACGTGTATGCCGTCCCCCTCCGATGGCGATTCTGTGTGGGACCCGCCGGTGGATGGCAGCGCTTGGCATCGTGTGCCCTTAAACCTCAAAGTTGACTTTTGAGTTGACTCAAAAGTCTCCTCTGATGCGATTCTGTGTGGGACCCGCCGGTGGATGGCACTGCTTGGCATCGTGTGCCCTTAAAACCTCAAAGTTGACTTCTGAGTCGACTCAAAAGTCTCCTCTGATGGCGATTCTGTGTGGGTGGGTGGACGCCACCGCTTGGCATTGTGTGCCCTAAAACCTCAAACCCCGAACCCCTGTCCCTTGTCCCCTTGCCACTCCCAGGGCGATGTGTATGCGACTCCCGCTGATGGCGATGCTGTGTGGTACCCGCCCGTGCTGTCGCCCACATGGGGCAATGAGAACCCGGAGTTCTTCGATACCATGGTAATGATTCAAGTGTACAGCCCATAGAGAATGCTGACCTGTGCTTGTAACGAATTCTGACCTGTGCTTTTAACGAATACTGACCTGTGCTTGTAACAAATACTGACCTGTGCTTTTAACGGATTCTGACCTGTTCTGGTTATGAATTCTGACCTGTGCTTATAATGACACCACTTCTACCACCCCTCTCAACCCCTCTTTTCTATCCCACAGGAGGGCGGCTTCCAGCCGCACACGCTCTCTCTCCTCGTCTCTGACACTCCCGGTGTGCTCAACCACATCACGGGTGTCTTTGCTCGCCGCGGCTACAGCATCCAGGTGCGTGCCTCCTCCCTTGCTTTTCTACTTTCTGCTCCTTTCCCTGCTGTTGTCGCGCTTCCCTCTTCCTTCATCCTTCCCTTCTGCCCTGGCCCTGCCCTCTTCTCTTTCCTTCCCTATTGCCGTGGCCAGCTAATCACATCTCTCTCTCTCGTCTATTGATGGTGGTGCCAGGGACAGAGCAGTCCGTTGATAACCTCGTGTCTCTTGTCCTCTCCCTTGTTTTGAGACGTCTCAAAACACACTTGATAACCTCGTGTCTCTTGTCCTCTCCCTTGTTTTGAGACGTCTCAAAACACACTTGATAACCTCGTGTCTCTTGTCCTCTCCCTTGTCTTGAGACGTCTCAAAACACACTTGATAACCTCGTGTCTCTTGTCCTCTCCCTTGTTTCGCTTCACTTGTTCTGCCCTTCCGTCCGGCAGAGTCTTGCGGTGGGGCCAGCGGAGAAGCCAGGGGAGTCGCGTATCACCATGGTGGTGCCGGGGTCAGAGCATTCCATCGGCCTTGCCACATCCCTCATTCTCCACATTCCGTTCCACCCATTCCCATCCCCCATTCTGTCTGGCAGAGTCTGGCAGTGGGGCCAGCAGAGAAGCCAGGCGAGTCGCGGATCACCATGGTGGTGCCGGGCACAGAACAATCCATCGGCAAGCTGCTGCGGCAGATCCTGAAGCTCATTGAAGTCATCAGCGTGAGTGGCGACATGAATCCATTCATGGATATGTGATGTGGATTGGGATGGGATGCTCAAAAAGGATGTTCATCAGGGAGGGGGGAACCAACCATTCTCACCTTCCATCGTTTCCTGCTCCACTCTCTTCCTCCTTATACCATATTGCTTGTAGTCCTTACTCCCTTCCGTTCCAGGTGGAGGATCTGACCGACATCCCCTACGTGCAGCGTGAGCTGATGCTCATCAAGGTGGCGGCGAGGAGGGGGCAGCCGCGTGCAGCGCGAGCAAGAAACAGCAGAGAATGGGGAGAGCCAAGCAGAATCACCTTCCATTCTCATGCTATTCCCTATTCCCCACAACTCCTGTTCCTCGCAGGTGGAGGATCTGACGTACATCCCCTACGTGCAGCGCGAGCTCATGCTTGTCAAGGTGGCGGCGGGGAGGGAAGAGCCATACTCATCCTATGCCTATGCCTTGTTGCTTCCTATCCCTTGCCCATCTCAGGTGGAGGATCTGACGTACATCCCCTACGTGCAGCGCGAGCTGATGCTCATCAAGGTGGCAGCGGGGAGAGGGGAGCCGCGTCGGGAGGTGATGGACATTGCTTCTGTGTTCCGGGCACGCGTGATCGACATCTCTCGGCGGACCATGACCCTTGAGGTACTGATGTGATGTGAACAACTGCTGTTAGCTTCGCTCACTCCCTCTCACTCGCTCCCGGTCAAAGAGCTAGTGCATTCCCTCTCCCTCGCTCACTCGCTCCCGGTCAAAGAGCTAGTGCATTCCCTCTCCCTCGCTCACTCGCTCCCGGTCAAAGAGCTAGTGCATTCCCTCTCCCTCGCTCACTCGCTCCCGGTCAAAGAGCTAGTGCATTCCCTCTCCCTCGCTCACTCGCTCCCGGTCAAAGAGCTAGTGCATTCCCTCTCCCTCGCTCACTCGCTCCCGGTCAAAGAGCTAGTGCATTCCCTCTCCCTCGCTCACTCGCTCCCGGTCAAAGAGCTAGTGCATTCCCTCTCCCTCGCTCACTCGCTCCCGGTCAAAGAGCTAGTGCATTCCCTCTCCCTCGCTCACTCGCTCCCGGTCAAAGAGCTAGTGCATTCCCTCTCCCTCGCTCACTCGCTCCCGGTCAAAGAGCTAGTGCATTCCCTCTCCCTCGCTCACTCGCTCCCGGTCAAAGAGCTAGTGCATTCCCTCTCCCTCGCTCACTCGCTCCCGGTCAAAGAGCTAGTGCATTCCCTCTCCCTCGCTCACTCGCTCCCGGTCAAAGAGCTAGTGCATTCCCTCTCCCTCGCTCACTCGCTCCCGGTCAAAGAGCTAGTGCATTCCCTCTCCCTCGCTCACTCGCTCCCGGTCAAAGAGCTAGTGCATTCCCTCTCCCTCGCTCACTCGCTCCCAGTCAAAGAGCTAGTGCATTCCCTCTCTCTCGCTCACTCGCTCCGCATCGGGAGGTTATGGGCATTGCCGCTGTCTTCCGAGCGCGGGTGATTGACAACTCAAGGCGGACCATGACACTCGAGGTATGAGGCATGTCTGTCTTTCTTTCTCACTCTGGGCCAGGAGTAAAGAACCCTTGACTTCTCTCTCCCACTCTCACTGCTCGCCGGGAGGTGATGGACATTGCCTCTGACTTCCGGGCACGTGTGGTTGACATCTCAAGGCGGACCGGAAGACAGCAGCAATGTCCCTCGCTCACGTCGGGACGTGATGGACATTGGCTCGGACTCCTGGGAGGATTTTTTTAACGACTCAAAATAAAAAATTTCGAGTTGACAAAAAAAAAAGGTGACAGACATTGGCTCTGTCTCCTGGGAGAGGGTGATTAACAACTCAAGACGGACCATGACCCTGAGTTCTTAAAGATCGGAGAACACTTGTCTTCCCTTCCCTCTCTCGCCCTCTGCTTCCTCCCCCTCTCTCACTCACTCTGTTTTTCCCCCATTTCTCGCAGAACTTGTGCATTCTCATTTGCGTTCTCTCTCCCTTGCTCACTCAAAAGGCTAGCCTTTTTTATCCCCTGCTTGTTAAAATTTTCCCTCGTTGCTGCCCCCTCAGCTTACGGGTATGCTCAAGGAGATGGCTGCGCTACAAACGTTGTTGGAAGACAGTGTTTCTTCCTTTCTTCCCTTAACGCGTCCTTGACACGTTCCCCATTCTTTTCTCCACTTCCCCTGTTTCGTCAGCTCACGGGCACGCTTAAGAAGATGGCAGCGCTGCAGGGGCTTCTGGAAGACTACAGCATCCTCGAGGTAAGCTGACTCATTTGTTGGGATGAAGGGGGTCAAATCTGAGACAAGGTATGCTGACTCATGTGCTGCAGGGGCTGTTGGAAGACTACAGCATCTTCGAGGTAAGCTGACTCATTTGTTGGGATGAAGGGGGTCAAATCTGAGACAAGGTATGCTGACTCATGTGCTGCAGGGGCTGTTGGAAGACTACAGCATCTTCGAGGTAAGCTGACTCATTTGTTGGGATGAAGGGGGTCAAATCTGAGACAAGGTATGCTGACTCATGTGCTGCAGGGGCTGTTGGAAGACTACAGCATCTTCGAGGTAAGCTGACTCGTTACTCGCATAATAACTCGTTTCCAGGGTCAGCTCTGTTTTCCGGGAGCGGAGTCATCACCGCTCCTTGCCTCCTTCATTCCCACGCTTGCTCCAGGTGGCTCGCACGGGGCGTGTGGCGTTGTCTCGAGACAGTGGAGTCAGCACGGAGTATTTGGGACAGATGGAGCCTCAGCACTCCATTTTCTGAACCTTGCAGTGTAACACTTAGCGTAGTGCAGAACATGGCAAATCTGTCGTAGAACAAAGGACCGGTAACAGTACCTCAGCGTTGAACATGCCAGGAGATGCCTATTCTGAGAAGATTTGCCGAAGTGCGTTGCTTGTACCAGTGTATCTCCTGCACGTCAATGTTCCAGTGGGAAGAGACTCTGTATTGAGAAGGGCCTCTGAATGTAGGGCTTGCAGAAACCACCACGCCACCAGCACTGTATCCTGTGTGTTAAGGTCACTTGGTAATCTTCTCAAAAGTGACGAACGCACTTTGTCTTCTGTCCTGCACTCCTACCGTTTCTGCTTTTGTATGTAATAACCTGTAAGGTCAACATCTATACATCTGTACTGTCCACATGCTGCTGCACAAGATTTTGAGATGAGAATGGGGTGTTGAGCATGTCATCTACAGTCTACTGTAGCATTTGCTTTGTCTTATCAAACAGCAGCCGCTTGAAAACAAGATGCAGCGGCGCACCAGCTGTGGCCTCCTTGGGTAATGCGGAGAGGAACATCACCTGTGAACAAGAAGAGGATAGACACGTAGGCAATACAAGCAGGGGAAGGGTGAGGCATGAGGGAGGGTAGAGATGCAGAGGCGCACCAGCTATGGCCTCCTTGGGTAATGCAGAGTGGAACACCACCTATGAAAGAGAAGTGGACAGACACGTAGGCGGCAAGGCAACACAAGCGGGGACAGAGGAGTGAGGCATGAGTTAGGTGGGAGTTAGGGTGGGAGAGGAGAACTGAGTTAAGTAATGCGGAGGCAGACCGTCTGTGGGCTCCTTGGGTAATGTGGAGTGGAACAGCACCTGTGAAATAGAGGAGGATAGAAATGGTAAGGCAATTGAAATGAGGCGGGAGGAGAGAGGTGGTTGTTTCAGCTATTGCCGTTCATTTGCAGACAGACACATGGGACACAGAGAGCCTAATAATTTAGCTTTGAGGCGCCTCAAACCATGGATCGACAACGCAGGATGGCACAGGTTCGTGTGAACTTGCCTTAAATTTGCCTGACTTGCCAAACGGGGACTGAATTGTTCCTTGTGCTCCTGCCGAAAAAGAAAGAGGGAAGAGGGTGGGGGCAAGGGAGGGAGGAGCGAGATGGCAATACTTGCAGTCTTAATGCTACGGCAGGGAAATATCCTATAGTAGGGGAATATTTTGCACCTTGTACTACGGTAGCTCCTGAGCTTTTGTCTTTTGAGAATTCTCAAACATAATCCGTAAGCCCCATTTCACCCACATTTCTTTCAAGGTTACACCGATTTGCAACATCCAAACAAGTTGAGTCAACCTGTTGTGAACAGCAAGTTGACGGCCAACAACAGCACATGTGAACACCTTGCATGGTGTTGGTTTCCTTCCAATATGCACCATTGTACCACGTATGGTCTATGCCGTTCTTTCATCCACCCACCTTCCACTGTGGAGACTCGAAGCCCCACAAATTTGGAGATGTCTGTTTCTTTTTTGAAGAGCCCTCGGCCGATGAGGGAATGAGAGTCAACCACGCGGTCGATCACTCCTTCCCTGCTCTTCAGCTTGTATACACGCAGAGGCTGGATGGGATTGAAAAGAAGCAGGAAATAGTGGGATACTAAGTGAGTGAAAGGGTGAGCGTGAGCATAGCAGAGCGAGTCAAACTCATTGGACGTTGTTGTGCCTACATGCATACCACACCTATTGCCGAACCTGTGTATCTACCACGACAGTCCCATACATACCTGGGAGCCTGAGTGCATGGTGGTGGGATCAATGGGTGCGAGGATACGGCCGTGCAAGGCCATGCGGCATGTGTTGGTGTCTGCACGTGCCATACCAACTGTCACTGTACCTGTGCCCTGAGCACCGTACTTGTGCGCCGTACCTGATTGCCGTACCTGAGTGCCGTACCTGAGTGCCGTACCTGTAGCACCGTACCAGAGGGTAATACCAGCACAGTGTCATACATACCTGGGAGCCTGAGTGCATGGTGGCTGAATCAATGGGTGCGAGGATACGGCCATGGAAGGCCATGCGGCATGTGTTGGTGTCTGCACGTGGGAGGTGGGAGGTGGATGGATGTTAAGGAGAGATGGATGAATGGATGGATGGATGGATGATGGATGGATGGATGGATGGATGGATGCATGGATGGATGGATGGGTGGATGGATGGATGGATGGATGGATGGATGGATGGATGGATGGATGGATGGATGGATGGATGGATGGATGGATGGATGGATGGATGGATGGATGGATGGATGGATGGATGGATGGATGGCGCACACATTTCAACTTGAAAACGACCACCTACGAAGAAACACAAACACGGGTTTTTTTCAATCCAGCGCATGTTTGCATCTTACGAATATCGGAGTCGAGGCGAGATGCTATGAGCAAAGCGTCACTTGGACAGGCGATCTGCATGAGAACTCAGATGCCATCCCATGCCATCCCACGCCATCCCATCCCATGTCATCCCATGCCATGCCATGCCATGTAATGCCGTATACCACAAGAATCTCAAACTTCCAAGGTCACTTGGGAGAAACGAATGAGGCACATCAGAACGGCGTGGATTGAGACAGCCTGAGAAACGACAAGACTTGCAACCATCCAAGGTCGCTTGAGAGGAAAAAGAGGGGATCACGCAGGCAGGCAGGCAGGCAGGCAGGCAGGCAGGCAGGCAGGCAGGCAGGCAGGCAGGCAGGCAGGCAGGCAGGCAGGCAGGCAGGCAGGCAGGCAGGCAGGCAGGCAGGCAGGCAGGCAGGCAGGCAGGCAGGCAGGCAGGCAGGCAGGCAGGCAGGCAGGCAGGCAGGCAGGCAGGCAGGCAGAAATCAAGTGTTTTCGGGCGCGTAACATTCACGAGAAGAGATCGCAGAGAGTCTGCTTTTGAGTCGACTCAAACGCAGGCAGGCAGGCAGAAATAAAGTGTTTTCGGGCGCGTAACATCCAAGCAAAGAGATTGCAGAGAGCTTCAGTTGTAGCAAGTCAGCTTTAGTCAAGACAAGGCATCGAGCAATACCTACCTCGGATTCAAACACTAAGAGAGCGAAGTGTTGGAGCGATGGGGCCTCAGATTCGTTCTCCCGGTGTTGCTGCTGGCCTGGTGATGGTTCTGCGGGAATGACGTTGAGAAGGGGGTTAAGAAGGGGTTGAGGTGATGAGAGGAATTTGAAGGCGCATATTGAGTCAGTTGTGTGTGCCTGGTGGTGCTGCTGGCCTGGTGATGGTTCTGTGAAAATGAGGTTGAGAAGGGGGGTGGAATGGAGGCAGCACAGCAGCAGCTCAGCTCAGCTCAGTGCAAGGGTGGCAAAGAACTACTCAATGAGCTACTTTTGAGGCGCCTCAAAACTACTCAATGAGCTATAGTGAGCAGCAGCTCAGCGGTCACCACTAGAGCAGCACTGTGCTGTGCTGTGCTCGCACCACTATGCAACGATAGCTTTGAGCGAGCTCAAGAGTAACATTCACAGCACCACATTGCCTCAGCAACACATTGGCAGGGAATCAACCATACCAGTGCTTCGTTGTTGCCCGGCGCCTGACAGTGCTGAGAGTGTGTCACTGTCTTGTAGGTTTTCCTGCAAAGCACACCCACGGGAAGCACATGCATGCAGCAGCAGATGCAAGAGGGAATCAAAGTGGTAAAGCAATCAGTCCAGGCGGTACTTCTTATGTAAACGAGCTGACTTTTGAGTCGACTCAAAAGTCAGCTCAGTCCAGGCGGTGCTTCTTTTGTGAACGTAGTTCTATGATATTAAAACGACCCAAAACTGTAGGTGTGGTTTCTTCTCTCACCAAGTGGGGGTAATCAAGAGAGAAATCGAAAGATGAGCCTGCCATGAAGAAAAGATGAGCGGCAAGATCCAAGAGAGGCAGTGTAGGGATGAGATCTGTCAGCCAACTTGAAAGTTTTCTGCCCGCACGAACAAATACACACATGAATATACAATAATGCAATAGAATGTATACATACAAATGATGTTCAAATCACAGTCATGCAAGAAGTGGGTTCGAAGGAGAAAAATGACAGCTCAATCAGACACTGACGTGCTCACAGGTAACAAAACCTGTGGTTTTGAGGAGGGAGGAAGTGAAAGGGAGCAGCAGCAGAGCAGCAATGCACCTGATGAAGCACCTGATGATGCACCTGGTGTGAGAGTTGTAGAAGAATGTGGAGAGGGATGAGCGAAGAAGGTTACTGTTGTCATCACTGTGGAGTGACCCACCGTTACTGTGTTGGGGGAGCGGAGAGGGGGAAGGGGGAAGGGGGGACGGGGAAGGGGAGGAGAGGGATGTGAGACATGGAAAGAGCGGGAAGGGGAGAGAAGAGAGAGTGGGAGCGAGCTTTTGAGTCGACTCAAAAGGAGAGGGATGTGAGACGTGGAGGCAGGGTCTTCTGGGTTAATGCAGACGCACCACAAAATTTTGAGGTGACTTTTGAGTCGACGTACTATGAAATTTAGGGACAATCAGCGAGTCAGCCTCCTCTGCAACCTCTGCTTCAGCTTGCTGCTCAACCTGGTGCTCATTATCTGTGCTCCACGAGTCCGCCTCCTCGACAGTCGGATAGTGAGCTAAGGAGAAAAAAAGAGCACGACGTTGCTCCTGCACCAATGCAGCCCGTTTTTGCCAAAGGCTCAAAAGCTCGGCAAACGTAGGGTACTCAGCAGATGAAGGGATTGGAGCATGACGTTTCATTTGCAGCTGCTCCAATCCCTTCATCTGTTGAGTACCCTACATTTGCCGAGATTTTGAGCCTTTGGCAAAAACGGGCTGCATTGGTGCAGGGGCAGCGTCGTGCTCTTTTTTTCTCCTTAGCTCACTATCCGACTGTCGAGGAGGCGGACTCGTGGAGCACAGATAATGAGCACCAGGTTGAGCAGCAAGCTGAAGCAGAGGTTGCAGAGGAGGTTGACTCGCTGATTGACTCTAAATTGGAGCTGAAGAGCGAGACGTACCATGAAATTTAG